TCAACTCCACCACATTTTCGTTCAGTAACGACTCGTTCTGAAACAAGTAGTTATTACTGACCTGTGTAGAAAGTTTACATTTTATGCAAGTATCAGCAGGAGGCTTACAACGCCGTGAACCGTCAGTGGTGAAAAAAGGAATACTAACCATCGAAAACTAGGTAAGGACCTCCCTCTTGGGCGGGGACGATTCCTTGAGACAAACGTTCTGAGTACTCAACGCTGTGGCGAGAAAACAGATTCTAGCGAAAGAGCATAGAAGACGAGTGAGACGCAAACATTACCGCGCTCCATCCATGCATTGGGCTTGCCACAAGAACCGAAGCTCTCGCTTCATATTTTCGGGCCGTTAAAGTGATATCCCCTACGCGGTATCAATTGCTGCATTCACGAGAGAGATAGTTTTTATGAACCATTCGCGGAATGAGCTTTTGAGCTTTGGATCGGCCGTTCAGCTGCAATTTAGCAAGTCTTGAAACCCTGATAACAAGCTGTTATAGAAACCCATCGACATAAGTTAAGAACGATCGGGACGGGATTTTTGAGGAATGGCTTGATCACTTAGGTGACTGCATTTTTGTGGTAAAAGAATGAATACTCTAATTCCTGTGATCTTCCCGTATTCTCCATCACATAGTTTTATCCTAGCTGGTTCTCAGGTCCACTTGTTCCCGAAATTCTGCTTCCCACTTGTGTTTATTTAACAAGTACTTCAAATGGGATGACCTCTTTCGGGCCGAAATGCTCCACTCGTACTTATGAATGGACTTTCTAGGACATATGGTTATAGGGCTCTTAATCGAGTCCACCCCGTCTGTCATGTCCTTGTTTGAATTCAAATTTCCCATGTCAAGATCCCATTGGTTCCCATGTCCATATTGTCGACACCCCTTGACGTGAGGGTCCACTTGGATGTTGGCGTGCCGTTGCTAATTTCGCACAATTAGATGTCGCACATGGATATATGGAGCTCTGAACACCGCCCAGCGCGGTACTTATTAAAGGATGCCTAATTAGACTGCTGGCACCACGGTGGATTTACGCTGCCGCCGTCCAGCGCGAGAACAATACGATGTTTATATGGAGCGAAGTGCACGAAATGCAACACAGTAGATGGTGAATGTTTTGGGTAATTGTTACCAGTTGGCGAGAGAGGTGAGGGTGCAGACAGACAGAGGCCCTACCTTTTTAAGTAGCCGCTTGCTAAATTTGGAGGGTGTGTGTGGTAGTGGTATAGGATTTGCATGGGAGATTTTGTGTGCGGAATCGAAACTCTTCTCAGAAAAGATAAAGAATAAAGCTGGCGGCTTTGATCGATACTTTCTGGTATGCGCCACACACTCTACGTCCGGTCCAAAATTGTGGTCGTGTTCGGAACGATCTGTACATATGAATTGGGGGATGTATGCCAGTATTTTTATGGTCTAAGTCGATATTGTGGCAGCAAAAAGGCATAGGAGCTTCGAAAAGTTTGATTGGCCTGGGTAGTGTACGATCGGGATTCAACTCTTGAACAGTGTGCGTGGTCTGGG